GAAAATGTAGGTTTTAAAAAGGAAATTCTCACTTCAAAATAGAAACAAAAAATGTAGCAAACCTATAAATTCACTTAACAAAAATTATGCGAGATTGTTTGACAAATGAATAAACAATTACAGAGAGACATTTTCAAGTGAGTAGAAGTAGCAGATTTCCAAATGTGAACATTAAATATACTAAGATGTTAAATTGTTCCAAATTGGTAGGCTGAAAGAAATTCTGGATTTTAAACCTCTCTCTCTCTCTCTCTCTCTCTCTCTCTCTCTCTCTAAATGGAAGATATTTCAAAGTTTATTTTGGAGAGGGCATAACAAAGACAAGCAAAAAATAAATTTTAAAAATGGAAAAAGAGAAGAATGGAAACAAAGGAAAGGAAAGAAAAAGAAGTTGATGGTGGGGGTGAGGGGGGAAGAAGAAAGGAAGAAATTCCATGAGAAGAGTCATCTTGAAACAGAAGACCCTAGAGCAACCAGAGAGGAGAGGCTGTATCTACAAGTGACCAACAGTAACTTTGACATTGACCTTCCCAAAGCATCACCGGACACCAGGTGATAACAAAATACTATCTTCAAAGTGCTGAGGGAACGTAACTATCAGTGGAGAATTTTGGACTTGGTGAAATTAGTATTCAAAGGTCAAGGCAAAAATCTAGATATTTCCAAACATCAAAAACCTAAAATTTACCTCCCTCTCTGAAATAACTACAAAAGGATCTATTTAAGAAAAGGAAATTCAATTAATGGAATACAATAAGCAGTGATCAGCAAAGAAATTGAAAAATCTTTTGTCAAAATCTCTAAGCATTGATGGCAAGAGAAAATGAGTGGTTACTTTAGAAGGAACATTTTTAAAAGTAGAACTAAAGTACTAGACAAGAATAATATGAGAGATGGAGGGTGGCACCGGAATTAGGGCACCCCAAGGTCCACACATTGTTCAGGAGAGTGAAAGAACTATTGATTAAGTATAGCCTTTGTTAGGTTCTGTAAGTTAATTAAAAGAGAGAACTTCAGGGTTGGGGATGTGACTCAGTGGTTAAGTGCTTACCCGGCTAGATGGAAGCTCTAGGTTTGATCTCCATCACTGGGGGGAAAAAGATAATTTGAAATGGATTCATTGCTCACCACCACCCCCTCTAACACAGCTTCTCTAGTCTTCAGTTTTTATTGAACTCAAGCTTCTGATCTGTGGGAGGTCAAGCAGTGTTGGAAGAAGTTCTTGTTACTTCCTCTGCTTTAACTCATACATGAGAATGTCAGTCTGCCACATTTTTTACCAAGTGATAATCTGGCAGTATTTAGTATTTGTGGACCATATTCTCTTCCTTTCAGAACTTTGTACGGTTCAATGACACAGTACTTCTAATGTCATTGAATACTGCTGCAGTGAAGTATGAGGCCAACTTCATCCTCTTCCCTTTGTAAATAAATTACTTTTCTTTTTCCTGGATGCCTAAATAATTCTTCCTTTATCTTTTTGGGCTCATAACTCTTCTGTAATTGAATATTTCTCATGAATTTTATTCATATTCCAGTGTGATTTTTGAACAACATTATTTTGTGCACTTCAGAAAAATTTTCTTGCATTAGGTCTTTGAATACATTTATAGCTCTTTGTTTCCTTATTTCAGAAGCATCAATTATTTTTTATATTTGTTCTGTTTAGTTATAGCTAACAGTAAAGTGTATTTTGACATGTTATACACATCAATTGTTCTTACAGTTGATCACTGGTTCTTCTTTTCTCTGACCTGTTAGTTTTTTTAATTAAGTTTCCCCCCGCCCCATTTTCTTAAGACGGTCATTTCTCCTAATTGGTTACTGACTCATAATCCCTTCTGAAATCCTTGGAACAAGATATATTTGGGAATTCAAAATGATTTCATATTTTAGAAAATAACAAATGCATATTCCACATGTTATGTAATATTCCCAATGGAGTCTGGGCAGTGTTCAGAAGCATTAATGTTTTTTTCAAAGAAAACTATGAATATGAATATCCAAGTTACATTGAAAAAACAAAGCTTATAAATAACTTCACATCTGTTCAGGACATGTTATGCCTCCAAGTGGGTTACCAAAAGAATAAATTAAAAAAAAAAAAAAAAAACTACTCAGTTTTCATAGTTACTTAAACTTGGGAATTTCATATGAAGGAGGGATTTGGACTTGAAATTGAGCTTTTAGAAATGTCTATTCTTTTCCTTATGTTGATAAGTTTTTTAATTCATTCTATAAAGATGCTGCTTTGAGCCTTGATGTATGACCTTAGACCTGTAATGTCCCTTTGGATCTCTCAGTGTTTCGTTTTGGTCCTGTATTTGTTTGGTCCTTTTATTTTCTTTCTCTCGCTAATGTTCTCATGAAGTTCTCCATAATACAAACAAATAGGGAGGGATGGCTGAGTGATGGCTTCTGCCAGCTGGGGGACCCTCTTCTTCTCTGCGTGGCTTTTCCCCTTTCATCCTGTAGTACCTTTTCACAGTTGCTATGTATCCCTGGTGCTTTTTTTTTTTAACCTTATGTTAGTTAATTGCCCAAGCACTTTATAGGTTTTATGAATAAATTGTGGGTTATTGTGGGTTGTTTCCACACACACACACACACACACACGATCTCTAAGACCATGTTTTCTTTCTTTTTATCTTTTTTGTTGATGTTGTTCTCCCCACCCCACCCGACCCCTGCTGTCTGTTACCTTTCTAACTATAAAGCTTTATTGAGATATAATTTATAAAATTGACCCATTTGAAGTATACCATTCAATCGTTTTTGGTACATCTATAGAGTTGTCTAACCATTACCGTCATCAATTTTAGAATGGTTTCATCATTCCAACAAGGAAGCCTTTATCCATCAGCAGACAGTCCCCCCAGTCCCCCAGTGCCTCAGCCTCAGACAACCACTAATCTGCTCGCCATCCGAGTAGACTGGCCCTTTCTGGACATTTCACATAAATGGAATTCTACCATATGTAGTCTTGCATGACTTGTTTCTTCCTCTTAGCATGTTTTCAAAATCCATCCGTGTTGCTGCAAGCACCGGGGCCTTGTTTCTATGTTGGTGTCAAACAATATGGAATACGCCACAGTTCATTTCCATTCACCGGTCGATGGCCTTTGAGTTGCTCCCACTTTGGGGCCGTTATGAATACTGCTGCTATAGACATTCACCTACAAGCTTTGGTGTGGACCGTGGTTTTGGCCTGGGTGTCTCGTGTGTTATCCGTCTTTCTATAGATTGAGAGAACACCAACTGCATGGAGTGCTGTTTAAGAGGAACTTGGTTTAGTGGTTCAGAGCCTATGTCAGATTTATAAGCCCCATTCAATCTTCTGGGATCATATTGACTGCCCTGTGCCTTGGTTGACTCCATTAATGGGATAAGGGAGGGTACATCATATATTTCCTTGAGGAGAGGCTCCCAGACTTTGAAACTTCGAATCCTTCCCCCAACAAAGTGCAACACTGAAATTCTCTTCCAGCAGAGAAAGACAACTATTTTTTTTTTATGCTAAGGATTGAACTCAGGGGCACTCGACCACATCCCCAGCCCTATTTTGTATTTTATTTAGAGACAGGGTGTCACTGAGTGGCTTAGAGCCTCACTGTTGCTGAGGCTGCCTTTGAACTCGCAATCCTCCTGCCTTAGCCTCCCGAGCTGGGTAATCCTGTTGCTTCAAACATCATCTGTTTCCAGATAAGACCCCAAATTGAAACTCTAACCTAGCCTTCTCCCCTGCCTTCCAGTCTGGTATTTCACCTCCTACTTCACCATTGGAAGAAGCAGCAGCAGCCCCAAGTTTACATATCCAAACCCAAACCCTGGGCCACCTCACAATCCTGCTCCCCCTCCACTTGTCTTCTGCTGTTACACCATCAGCTACCAAAATGCCTCAGCTGAAGACATTGAAACCTCATCACACTCCAAAGCCTGCACTAAATTACTGCTCCATAATTTCATTTGTTGCACCTTTTCTAATAAACATTTCAGAAAATCGTGGATTTTGCTTTCTTGTAGTTGTTGTTACCAGGATTGAACCCAGGGATGCTTAACCGCTTAGTCCTCCTTGGCCCCTTTTTTACATTTTATTTTGAGACAGAATCTCTCCAAGGAGTTTGGAGCTTAGCTAAGTTGCTGAGGCTGGCTTTGAATTTGAGATCCTCCTGCCTCAACTTCTGGGGCCACTGTGATTACAGGTGTGTGCCACCACGCCTGGCTAGATTTTGCTTTTGTGGGCTC